GATGTTGGCCGTGATGGAGAGGATGGGGGGGGGTGCGGGCTAGGGGGAAAATTAGGAGCTCGGTTTTGGAAAGGTTCAATTTGAGGAAATGGAGCGACATCCAGTCTGATATGTCGTTCAGTAGGTGGGCGATACGGGCGGAGACTGAAGGGGTGAGGTGAGGGGTGGAGAGGTAAATTTGCGTGTCATCGGCGTAGAGGTGATAGTTGAAGCTGTGGGAGTGTATCAGTTTGCTGAGGGAGGAGGTGTAGATGGAGAAGAGAAAGGGCCCGAGGACAGAGCCTTGGGGGACCCCAACAGAGAGGGGGAGAGAGAGGGAGGTGGTAGCGTTATAGGTAACGCTGAAGGAGCGTTGGGATAGATAGAAAGAGAGCCAGGAGAGAGCGGAGTCTCTGATGCCAAGGGAGTGTAGTTTATTAAGGAGGAGGGGGTGGTCATCTGTGTCGAAGGCCGTGGAAAAGTTGAGGAGTAGGTGGACTGAGTAGTGGCCATTAGCTTTGGCGGATAGCAGGTCATTAGTGATTTTGAGTAGGGCGGTTTCGGTGGAGTATAGGGGACGGAAGCCAGACTGTAGTGGATCGAGGAGGTTGTTGTCAGTGAGGTGGGAGCTTAGGCGATTGTAGACTAAGTGCTCAAGGAGCTTGGAAGTAAATGGCAGCAGGGAGATGGGTCTAAGGTTGTTCAGGTCGGTGGGGTCCAGGGAGGGTTTTTTTTTTGAGTATGGGGGTGATGTGCGCGTGCTTTAGGGGGGGAGGGGAATGCGCCAGTAGAGAGGGAGAGATTGAAGATGTGGGTAAGGGAGCGTAGGCTGGAGGAGGAGGGTGACCGGAGGAGTTGTGTGGGGACAGGGTCAAGGGGGCAAGTGGTGAGGTGGGCTTCTGAGAAGACCTTAGTGACCTCCTCAGTGGTAGCAAGGCTGAAGGAGCGGAGTGTTTGGGGAGGTTATAGTGTGTGGGGTGTTAGGTGTGGTGGGGGTGTTAGGTGGGGTGGGGGGGGGGGCAGTTGCAAGGTCAGAGGAGGGGGGAGTTGATGGGGTTTTGGTGGGAGGGAGGCTAGGTGGGGACGTAGATTGAGCATTGGCAATGTCCATACGATTGCGTCGATCTTATTTTGGAAGTGATTGGCAATCTCGTGGGCGGTGAGTGAGGTACTGGGTGGAGGTAAGAGGGGAGAGAGTAGGGAGTTGAATGTGGAGAAGAGCCGGCGAGGACAGGTGGAGAGGGTGTTGATGAGGGTTACGAAGTAGGCTTGTTTGGGTGGCGTGGAGGGAGGAGGTGTAGGTGAGGAAGGCAGATTTGTAGAGGGAGAACGCTCTAGGGGATCTGTTTTTGCGCCATAATCGCTCCAGCGCGCGACTGCAACGTTTAAGATTTTTAGTGTGGTCGTTCTGCCAGGGTTTAAGCGGTTGGGGTCTAATGCTACGTGTGGTTAGGGGTGCTAAGGAGTCTAAGGCATCTGACAGCGAGTCGTTATACGTAGTAGTGGCCAGGTCAGGGCATGACAGTGGAAGGATACTGTCGTACAGACGGGCGGCTGCAGATTGGAGAGGGGCCGGGTTCAGGTTGCGGAGTAACGTAATATGTGCATAGTTTGTAGGACAAACAAGGCTTTCTTTTGACAGTATTGTCTTGAAAACCCTATTTGATTTGCTATATATAATTTCTAGACAAAAAAAAAAATTTTTTTAGTTTGGCCGGTATACGTTTAAAGTGGAACTTTAGGTTAAAAATTAAAAAATGGTGAAAAGGCAAGAATTTTAATGCAGAAGAAACATGTTTTGAACACCCGAACATGCGATTGAGTGATGTCATCCCGACCCATCCAATTAAAGCAGCTGGTGATCAAAAGCCAGCCACCTGAAGATGTCAACAGCTGGGCAGAGAGCTTTATTGCAAATAAAAAGTTAAACATACTAAACATATTATTCTATCATTTTTCCAGTTTAAAATTGCTCTAAAATATGGGAGACTTTTTCACAGCCTTGCCACATAGAGAGGCCCGACATGCAAGGAGCACCATCAGGTGTCCAAGGGGTATAAATTACACATTTAATTTCCTTACTTCCTATTACACTTTTGAAGGCCCTGGAGAACCAGAACAATGGAATTACCCACAAAATGACCCATTTTGTGAAGCAAATACCCTAACGTATATTCTACGAGGCATAATAAGTCTTTTGAACATGTAATTATTTTCCACAAGTTTTCGAAAAATGTGGAAAGAAAATGAAAACTTTTTTTCACAATGTTGTCCATTTATAAGATATTTCAAACACATAGCATGTATGTACCAAAAATTACACCCCAAAATACATTCGTCTACTCCTCCTGAGTATGGGGATACCACATACTGTATGTGAGATTTTTCCACAGCCTGGCCACATAGAGAGTCCCAACATCCAAGTAGCACCGTTAGGCCTTCTATGGGCAAAAATTACACATCTTATTCCTTATCTAACCTATCATGTTTTTGAAGGCCCTGGAGCACCAGGCCAGTGGAAACACCCACAAAATGACCCAATTTTGAAAAGAAAACACTCCAACATATTTTTTTTGTGAGGCACAAAGAGTCTTTTGAACATTTTTTTCCACAAGTTTTTGGAAAATGTGGAAAGAAACGGAAAACTTTTTTCTTTTATTGTTTTACACTAAGTTGTCCATTTCTAAGATTTTTCCACCACATAGCACATACATAAAAAAATTACATCCCAAAATACATTCTGCTACTCCTCCTGAGTATGGGGATACCACATGTGTGAGACTTTTTCACAGCCTGGCCACATAGAAAGCCCCAACATCCAAGTAGCAAATTTAGGTGTTCTCGAAGCAAATTACACATCTAATTTCCTGACAACCTATCACATTTTTGAAGGCCCTGGAGCACCAGGACAGAGGAAACACTCACAAAATGACCCCATTTTGGAAAGCAAACACTCAAATGTTTTTTTTTTTTTTGTGAGGCATAGTAAGTCTTTTGAACGTGTCACTTTTTTTCACTAGTGTTTCGGAAAAGTTGTCAATCTGTAAGATATTTCTAACAAACAGCATGGACATACCAAGTATTACACCCAAAAATACATTCCACTACTCCTCCTGATTGTGGGGATACCACATGTGTGAGACCTTTTCAACATCTGTACAGACGACGTCTGCTCAACATTGCAACATGTGTAACACAAAAGTAAACGAGCACTGTATAGAAAACAATGTAAACAAGATTACCTGTGGTTTGAGGAGAGCATTGGTCCAGGTCAGTACAGGCACCAGGCTGACATCCAGACAGCAGGCAGGAACAAGGTCCATAAAATGTCCTGGGTCATTATAGGCAGCAGGCAGAGATATGGTCAGCAATGCCAAGATATTTGTCCAGGCAGCAGGCAAGAATATGGTCCATAAAATGTTCTGGGTTATTACAGGCAGCAGGCAGAGATATGGTCAGCAATGCCAAGATATTTGTCCAGGCAGCAGGCAAGAATATGGTCCATAAAATGTTCTGGGTTATTACAGGCAGCAGGAAGAGATATGGTCAGCACAGCCAAAGTTTTTGTCCAGGCAGCAAGCAGGAACATGGCCCATAAAAGGTCCTGGGTCAGTACAGGCAGTCGGCAGAGATATGGTCAGCCCCTCTATACTCTGAAGCCCCTCACATATGTGAGACCCCTGTGTTATCTTGAATCCCACTACTACAGTAGCAGGGCAAAATATCAATCCAAGCAGCAGGCAAAAAACATGGTCGATTAACAAGCCGAGATCAGTCCAGAAAGAAGGCATAAACGTGGCTGATAATCCAGATGGCAGGAAGAAGCATAATCAATAAACAGGCCAGGATCAGTTCAGGTGGAAGGCAGAAACGTGGTGGATAAACAATGCAGGTAAATGATCAGCAAGATATTGAAACGGAGAAATGGCAGGCTGTTTGAAATATGGTCTAATATTTTAGTGACGTGAACACGTCGGAAGCAGTCTCTGATGCACAGGCCTGGTTGGGAGAGACACTGGGGACAATGAAAACTTGTTTCTCTTCTAACTCCTCCTCTGCTGCATCCCCAACATCTTTTTTGGCATCTTCAGCCTGCTTCTGTTGGTAGGATGCTCTCAGGGAAGTTGCGCTCTTGAAGTCTACTTACAGAATCGGAACGAATGCTTCTTGGGGGATCCTTGCTGGTAGATAATGGATACGACAATTTCTTCTATAAATGTAAGGAAGGCAGTGGGTCTTTCTGTGGATTTGGTGTAGGTGACATATGCATTATAAAAAGCCAAAGGAATAAATAGATTGCAACTTTTATACCGGAAAGTGACCTTCTTGTTGCTAAATAGGGCTGCAACATCTGATCGTTGAAATCAACCCCCCCCCCCCCCCATGTAGAGATTATAATCTTGGATGGTTGAAGGCATTTGAATGGAACCGTGTCTTCTAGTAATTTCCACCGAGGTGTCATTGTGGATGGTATACAGGATGTAAATGTCTCTCTTATCCTTCTACTTCAGGGCCAGAACTTCGTCATTTCTTAGGCTTGCTGATTCCCTCTTAGACAGGGTGAGGAAAGTGAAATCGAGAACCGGCAATTGCATTTCCCGGAGATCAGCGTGTCATTGGACACAGCTGATCACGTGGTAAAAGGCCGCTGTAATTGGCCTTTTACCACATCACGTGAACAGCTGTGTCCGTAGGAGAGCGCATTTTGGGAGGCCGTCATATGACGGCCTCCCAGAATTGTCCGGCAGCAGTGCACCCGTCATTCGGCTACCTGTGGTCAGCAACTAGTTAATACACTGCTCAGAAAAAATAAAGGAACACTTTTTAATCAGAGTATAGCATCAAGTGAATTAACCACTTGCCGACTGCAGATAGCCGAATGACGGGTACACTGCGGCCAGCCAGTTCTGGGAGGGCGTTATATGACGTCCTCCCAGAATGCCCCGGGGGCGTGCACCCGGCGATCTCCGTGATCGCTGTGTCCTACGGACACAGCTGATCATGTGATGTGGTAAAAGGCCAATCACAGCGGCCTTTTACCACGTGATCAGTCGTGTCCAATAGCACGCTGATCACCGAGAAATGCAATTGCCGGTTCTCGGCTGCACTTTCCTTGTGCTGTCAGAGCGCAAGGAAAGCACTGCCGAGAACCGGCAGTTGTCAGAGCAGGGATCGCCACCGATCATCAGGACACTGATGATCGTTACCCAGCAGTGCCACCCACCTGTACCCAGCAGTGCCCACCAGTGCCACCCAGCAGTGCCACCCACCTGTGCCCAGAAGTGCCACCTACCTGTGCCCATCAGTGCTACCCACCTGTGCCCACCAGTGACACCCAGCAGTGCTGCCAGTCAGTGCAGCCCAGCAGTGCTGCCAGTCAGTTCCACCAGTCAGTGCGCAGCGGTTGTGCCAGTCAGTGCCCAGTAGTTGCGCCAGTCAATGCCTAGCAGTGCTGCCAGTCAGTGTCCAGCAGTGATGCCAGTCAGTGCCACCTATTAGTGCTGTCTATCAGTACCCATCATCAGTGCCGCCTAACAGTGCCACCTATCCATTCCACCTCATTAGTGATGCCTATCAGTGCCACCTATCCGTGCCACCTCATTAGTGCTGCCTATCAGTGCTGCCTATCAGTGCCCATCAGTGCTGCCTATCAGTGCTGCCTATCAGTGCCCATCAGTGCTGCCTCATCAACGCACATCAGTAAAGGAGAAAAATTACCTGTTTGAAAAATTTTATAATAGAAACAAAGAAACTTTTTTTTTTTTTAATTTTTTGCATTTTTGTGTTTATAGCGCAAAAAGTAAAGTGCCCAATGGCAATTAAATACCACCAAAAGAAAGCTCTATTTGTGAGAAATAAATTATAAAATTTTCATATGGGTACAATCTTGCATGACCGTGCAATTGTCATTCAAAGTGCAACAGCGCTGAAAGCTGAAAATTGACCTGGTAAAGAAGGGGGTATAAGTGCCCGGTAGGCAAGTGGTTAAACTCCTGGGATATTGATCTGGTCAGTTAAGTATCAGAGGGGGTTGTTAATCTGTTTCAGCTGCTTTGGTGTTAATGAAATTAACAACAGGTGGACTAGATGGGCAACAATGAGACATCCCCCAAAACAGGAATGGTTTTACAGGTGGACGCCACTGACATTTTTTTTTTTTTTTCCCTACTCATCTTTTCTGATTGTTTTTCACTAGTTTTGCATTTGGCTAGGGTCAGTGTCGCTACTGGTAGCATGAGGTGATACCTGGACCCTATAGAGGTTGCACAGGCAGTCCAAGTCTTCCAGCATGGCACATCAATATGTGTCATTGCCAGAAGGTTTGCTGTGTCTCCTAGCACAGTCTCAAGAGCATGGAGGAGATTCCAGGAGACAGGCAGGTACTCTAGGAGAGCTGGACAGGACCGTAGTGGGTCCTTAACCCATCAGCAGGACTGGTATCTGCTCCTTTGTGCAAGGAGGAACAGGATGAGCACTGCCAGAGCCCTACAAAAAGAGCTCCAGCAGGCCACTGGTGTGCATGTCTCTGACCAAACAATCAGAAACAGACTTAATGAGGGTGGCCTGAAAGCCCGACATCCTCTAGTGGGCCCTGTGCTCACTGCCCAGCACCATAGAGCTCGATTGGCATTTGCCATTGAACACTAGAACTGGCAGGTCCGCCACTGGCACCCTGTGCTTTTCACAGATGAGAGCAGGTTCACCCTGAGCACATGTGACAGATGTGAAAGGGTCTGGAGAAGCCGTGGAGAATGTTATGCTGTCAGTAACTTCATTCAGCATGACCGTTTTGTTGGTGGGTCAGTGATGGTCTGGGGAGGCATATTCATGGAAGGATGCACAGGCCTCTACAGGCTAGAAAATGGCACCTTGACTGCCATTAGGTATCAGGATGAAATCCTTGGATCCATTGTCAGACCCTACGCTGGTGCAGTGGGTCCTGGATTCCTCCTGGTGCACGACAATGCCCGGCCTCATGTGTCAACAGTATGCAGGCAGTTCCTGGAGGATGAAGGAATTGATACCATTGGATGGCCCCCACACTCGCCTGACTTAAATTCAATAGAACACCTGTAGCATATCATGTTTCGGTCACAGTTTTTGAATCACCCCCCCACCACCCTACTCAATTACCTATCTCGATCCAGCGCTGTGCCCATTCTCTCCATTCTCTTCTCTTAGGACACAGAGGCAACAGCCATTGGCTCCTGCTGTTGTCAATCAATGAGGAATAAGTGGGGGATGGGTTTGAGCTGTGTTGTGTGTGTCTATGGACACACACAGCTCAGGGAGTGAGTCTGCATGTCTAACCCCACAGGAAGAAGTTTGCTAGGGGAGAAGACACAGAAGAACAGCGGACAGCACCATCAGGGGACCCCAGAAGAGGAGGTTTGGGGTCACTCTGTGCAAAACCATTGCACAGAGCAGGTAAGTATAACATTTGTATTATTTAAGAAAAATCAACCTTTACAACCACTTTAACTGCATGCACATGTACACAAGATGGAGATCAAATGACAGATTATAATTGTAACATTTACCGTCTGTATGGCCTATAGCTGCTTGAGCTCTATATATTCTGTAATTGTTTAGTAACTTTAAATAGTAGTTTACAAGCAACGTTTTCTTAAATTTCAACTTTTGTATTTAGATTTGTTACTTCTCAAGAAACAATCTACATCAACCCAACATCATTCCACAGTTTGTTATTTTTCCTGTAAAACAACAGAGGAATGCACTGAAAATAACTTTTATTCTTTCTTAAACAACTATCTAAGTCCTTTAAAAGAAAAATATTAAAGACAGCAAATCTGCTGTATTCTTTTACCGCTTTGGGAACTCAGGCGGATGCTTAACTTCAAAGAATGCGTAAGATTAGTCACCCAGGGCTGAAGCCATGAGTCTATTTAGGAGAAGAAGCGCCAAGGATAAGTTATGAAATGCCCCAAAGAAAATCTGTCGACTTGTAATTAAGAAAATAAATTGCACAGATCGTTACAGCCGAATTATCTGGAGATGTCTGAAAAGAATTACTGTCCTGTTTATTTCAGATTTTGTTAATTTTTTTTTTATTTCCAGCAGTGCTGAAAGAAACAGTAAATGGTGTATATAGCCTGAATGCAATGCAACAATGAATTTAAAGCAATCCTGTCACCTTCTCCCAAATAACTCCCTTCTGCACAGCAGGTGCCTACATTGCCATATTTTAACTTTAGTGCTACTGTACTGTATGTCACCCAATCTGCTCCTGCAACTCTGAAACAAAGACCCAGTTTTTTTTCTGGTATGAGATAGACATATAGACCTCTCCAAGTCCACATATTGATACACTTGGTGCCTGAGCGACCAGTTGGCAGACCAAAGTAGTATCATGTTCATGGTAGTGTGCCCAGCCATATGAAAATCTCACAAGTCGATATTTGCATTGGATCTTTGGGGAGTTGTGGAGGCAGTTCATGGTGGCTGGAACACTAAAGATAGTTTTGCAGTGCAATGGGGCAATCAGATTACTAATTTTATTTTTAGCTATTAGCAGACACCCCACGATAAACAATTAACCATAGTAGGAAAGAAAAGCATTTGCTTCTGTCCAGGAGAGGCTGACCATGCATAACAAAAGTTGCAATTTAGATTTTTTTTCTGTCCTTCATGCAAAGTATCCTTGGCATCATCAGCAGCAAATTTGAATGATGTTGGTTTGGGTTTTTGAATAGTAATCTGTGCGGTGAGGAAAAGAAAGAGGATGGGTTTGCTGTCATCATCTGCCTCTTTAGAACTTGTATGTCCTTTGGGACTTGAAAAATCTAAACATGTGTCTAAATCTCCATGGCTTTGCCTTTGTCTGCACTAATTGTACACAATGATGGCTATGCTATCCTGTCATGTAAAAAATTGCAGATGGTAGATGCTTATGCTTTGTCACCACTCCTTCTCAAATTCTCATAGCTGAAACTTGTCCTGACAATTTGAAAGCAAGAGGCCTAAGAAGCATCATCGGTGCCAAAGCTACCCATCTTTGAATAAGCCCTGTACCCTTATAATATTTGTTCATGAAAGCATAGCAGCATCTCATCTGTTTTATGACCACCCTCTTTATTGATATGTCTTTTTGTCATATTGAACCCCACACTGCCATCTTTAATAATATTTTGCCCAAGATGCAGATCCATCAAAAATAGTATTACCAGTGTAAAAATAACAGAGAATGGGGCATCATTTTTTTCCTTTTCTGAACACATCCCTTATGTATTCCCAAATTTCTAAATAGATCTATTCTTCTTACTCATCTATAGACTGAGAAGAACATTAGTTCACTCAAAAGGGTTTAATTAGGATGAGGCTTGAGCAATCCAAGTAAAAGTTTCAACATTGTACTGGTATTCCAAAAAAATCCAAGAGAGGGGGGAAACCTGTCACTTGCACTATGCTATCAAGTAGAGAGTCTGTCACCCCCCTTGTAAATGCAATACAATTCATTAAAAGAAAAGAAAAATTGTAAAAAAATAAATTTTAATAATAAAAGAAGAAAAATTTACCATCAGCAGGTTGTTGTAGTAGCAGGTAAACATCATTGGGAGCTGCGTCATTGTTATTAACTATGGATCTACGATGATGAAATGATGTTGTTGGTGATTGATTCACACTGGGGGTGGGGGTGGTGGGTTAACATTGGTAAATGGTCTCTTGTGAGGGAGGATACGCAAAGTGGGGATAGTTCAAGAGGGGGGGGGGGACACTCTGCTTTTCCTTTCCTAGCCACCCAGACTGCATACCTGGTAAGGGCCTAGTTGGAATTTTAAGGGAACCTTTGTTTTTTTCTTGCTACTTTTAAAGGACCACATCATACTATTCTTTAACATCATATGCAGCTTTCAGGCATCTTTCAAGCATGTTTTTTTAAAGGGTTTGTGTATTTTCAATGTTGCTCTTAAAGGTGCATGAAAACACTCAGCTAAAGAAAATTTGCATCAGTACCTGTCCTCCATGGCAGTGCTCAGCCTCCCATGTCCTTTATCATATTTTCAGTTTTCGTGACACCAAGAGAAAAGTAGTGATGGGGAGGGCAGAGTTTATGATTGGCAAATAAAAAATGATCCGGTGTAATTTAGGGTGTGGTTGCCATCATCCCCATTTTCATAATAGAGAGAGTTGTATCTTACATTTGGTGGGATTTTTTAAGGCCACCTTAGAGTGTATACAAAACATTTGACACATTAACACATATTTCATCAATCGAGTGTAGCATTTCTTGACAACATGTTTGCTTTACAATACTTGTGGTTATTGCACTGAATAGCTAGTGGTATCCTTTGAAGCTGATTTCCATTTTGCAACCTCAGGTTTTAGGACTACAAGTGTATTCAGCCTAAATCCAATTATTTTTTTTTTTTTCAAGTTTTAGAGAAAAAAATCTTCTCTCCGCTGGCACATAAAATCTTTTGAGAGATCTATTCAGGAAAACATCAATCCAATTGAACTCAGAGTCCAAATTTTTCCATCATTAGACAATATCTGCTTGGATTTAAAAAAAGTTGGGAAG